ATATTGTCTAGTATGTATTTGAAATTAACCCATGATGGGCATGGTGGTACACACATGTAATCCCAGCAGCTTGGGAGGCTGAAACAGGAGGATTGTGAGTTCAAAGCCAGCCTCAAGCAACTTCAGTAAGACCATATAAAAATAAAAAATCAAAATTAGTGATGTGTCTCTGTCTTTATGCATCCCTGAGTTCAATCAGTGGTACTAAAGAAAAAAAAAGAAAAGAATCCTAGATATTCAGTCAGATGGATAAATTATTTAACTGCTTCCTAACATGTACTTTTAGATTGTTTATGTATTTTGATTGTTATTAACAGATAATATGTCACTGGGTATATATTATTTTTGATATAATTTCTTGTTTTGGAACCAGGAATTGATCCAAGGGACACTTAACCACTGAGCCACACCAGGCCTTTTTAAATTTTTGAGGCAGGTTCTCCTTGCTCAGTTACTTAGGGCCTCACTCATTTTCTGAGGCTGGTTTGAACTCACAATCCTCCTGCCTCTACCTCTCAAGGTGCTGGGAATACAGGTTTGTTCCACCATACCTGGATTGATATAATTCCTTTTAGAAGGTTCTCTAGTGAAATTGTTTGGTACAGGGATGGGGATAAACTTAGGATCCAGATGCATTTCACCAGATTGATTTCAAAAGGAGCATACACACTGTCCTTACATTCTGGGGGCTTACTTTTCATGCAGCCACTTATTTGTGCCTTTGCTACACACTGAAGCATCTCAAACTTTGTTTTTCTAGATCCCAACCTTGATTGACCACATGCTTGTGTCGCCCAACACAAAGACTGGGGCCAAAGGAACTGAGGCCTTGTCACTGCTGCTGAAAAGGCCCTGGGACCCTGCTGCAGGGGTGCTTCCTCATGACAAGCCAGTGAGTTGAGGGGCTCAGGCTTAAGTGTGGCAGTGAGATGTTATGACTCGTAGCCTGTAGCCCTGGCTGGAGGAAGGTGTAACCTTTTCCCTTAACCACTTGTTTATTAGTGCCTAACATAGTTCTGTAAGCAATGGGTCATGGGTGGGTGAGCAGCCATAAAAGCCACTCCTGATGGTTTCGGGTGAGACTCTCACTCACCAGGTGGGATTTTCTCTTTGCAGAGGAAACTCCCTGGCTCTCCTCTGATTCTTATCACCTCCTCATGTCCCTCTAACTCTGCATTCCCCACCTCACACCACCACCACATCTGGTAATCTCAGCTGTGCTGCTTAGGCAAGGTTTGTTGGGGGCAAGAGGACGTCTCCACATGGGAATAAGATCTAGGAGGATGGAAGAGAAGAAACACAGGAGGGTGTAAAAATGGATGAACTTGAAATGTAGAGCATCCTGTGACTCTTAATTGGTGTTCAGATGCCACTTGCTGCAAGGTTGAGGGTTTCAGAATAGGTTAAGTAGAATGGAGAGATTTGAACCTAGCACTTTGGCATGGCACCCTTCCTTCCTTTAGGTCATCCCTGTCGCCACCCATCTGCCAAAAAATGGCAGTGGAGTGGGCCTTCTGCAGTGCCTTGAGCATATGATTGGGGCAGTGAGAAGCAAAGTTTTGGAGGTGAGAATGACCCTTTCTTGGGCAACCCTGGCACACCCCAGGTGACCCTGGTACACCCAGTGTGCTGGGGTGTTTATACCTGTCTGAAGCCTCCTTCTGACTGTCTCCTTTCCTCTGAAGATTCACCACCATTTCCCACACAAACCCATCATTTTAATTGGCTGGAACATGGGAGCTTTGGTGG